AATATGACACCTAAAGCACAAGCAACCAAAGAAAAAGTAAATAAAGTGAATGTCATCAAAATTTTAAAGTTTTGCACTTCAAAGAACACTATCAAGAAATTGAGATGACAATTCACAGAATGGAAGAAAATATTTACAAATCATATACCTGATAATCAACTAGTAACCAAAATATATACAGAACTCTTACAATTCAACAATAAAAAGAAAAATAATCCAATTTAAAAACGGACAAAGGATTTGAATAGACATATTTCTAAAGAAGATATGCAAATGACCAATAAGCACATGAAAAGATACTCAATATCATTAGTCATCAAAAAGTGTAAATTAAAACTACAATGCAAGATCACTTCATAATAATTAGGATGGCTATAAGCAAAAACAGTAACAAGTGTTGACGAGGGTGTAGAGAAATTGGAACCCTCATACATTGCTGGTGGGAATGTAAAATGGTACAACAACTTTTGAAAATAGTCTGGCAGTCTCTCAAAATAGTAAGCATAGTGACCATATGACCCAGTAATTCTACTCCCAGGTATATACCCAGTATCTACCCAGTAGAATTGGAAGCATATTTTCACTCAAAACATCACATACAAATGTTCATAGCAACACTATTCATATTATCCAAAAGGTGAAAACAGCCCAAATGACCATCAACTTATGAATGGGTAAACAAAAAGTGGTATATTGATACAATGGAATACTGTTCAATCATAAAAGGAATGAAGTAGTGATACATGCTATAACGTGGATGAACTCTGAAAACATTATGCTAAGTGAAAGAAGTCAGACACAAGAGGCCACACTTTTTATGATTCCATTTATATGAAATTGTCCAGAAGAGGCAAGTCCATAGAGACAGAAATTAGATTAGTAGATTAGCAGCTGAAAAATTCCAATGGCATTTTTCACAGAGATAGAAAGAGCAACCGTAAAATTTGTATGGAACTACAAAAGACCCCGAATAGCCAAAGCAATCTTGAGAGAGAAGAATAAAACTGGAGGCATCAAACTATACTACAAAGCTATGGTAATCAAAACTATACTACAAAGCTATGGTAATCAAAATAGTATGGTACTGATATAAAAATAGACACACAGACTAATAGAACAGGATTAAGAGCCCAGAAATAAATCCCTGCATATACTGTCAACTAGTATTTGACAAGGGAGCCAAGAAATTGATAAGTGCTGTTGAGAAACTGAATAACCACATTCAGAAGAATAAAATTGGATCCCTATCTTATACCACTCAAAAAAATTAACTCAAAATGGATTAAAGACTTAAACATAAGACCTGAAACCATAAACTCCTAGAAGAAAACATAGGGTCAAAACTCCTTGACACTGGTCTTCACACAATTTTTTGGATATGACACCAAAAGCACAAGCAACAAAAGCAAAACTTAAGAAGCAGAACTACATCTAACTAAAAACCTTCTGTACAGCAAAAGAAACAATCAATAAAATGGAACGACAACTTACAGAATGTGAGAAAATATTTGCAAATCATATATGTGATAAGGAGTTAGCATCCAAAGTATATAAAGAACTCACACAACTCAATAGCAAAAAAACAATCTGGTTGACAAATAGGCAGAGGACCTGAATACACACTTTTCCAAAGAATACATACAGATGGCCAACAGACACATGAAAAGACGCTCAACATCACTAATCATCAGGGAAATGCAAATCAAAACCACAGTGAGATATCACCTCACACCTGTCAGAATGGCTATCACCAAAAACAAGAGATAAGAAGTGTTGGCGAGGATGTGGAAAAAAAGGAACCCTCGTGCACTCTTGGTGGGAATCTAAATTGGTACAGGCACTAAGGAAAACAGTATGGAGGTTCACCAAAATTTTTTAAATAGAATTACCGTATGATCCAGCCATACCACTTCTGGGTATATATATAAAGGAAATGAAAACAGGATCTCAAAGGGATAGCTGCACTCTCATGTTCATTGCAGCATTATTCACAACCTACTCAAGGCCTCATTAATTAGAAAGGGGCAGAATTGGGAAATGGACCCCTATGTGTATAGAGCATAGGGTGCGTGTGTGTGTGTGTGTGTGTGTGTGTGTGTGTGTGTGTGTGTGTCTGACTCTAAAGCCTATGCCGGTAGCCTCTAATGCTACCTCTCCACTTCAAAATATGGTTATGAGTTGTTGTTATTGTTGTTTATAATTAAATTATTTAAAAATAGGTAATGCATGCATATGGTACACAATGTGAAAAATAAAAAGAAACAGAGAAACAGTGAAAAATAAGTATAAAATAGTCTCCTTCTCACTCTTGTCCCCCAGCCACCCAGGAGACAACCACTGCTAACAGTTGCTTTTCAAATTAAAAAAAAATTTTATTTTCACAAAAGTGGTTTGCCCCTGCATCATTTCATAGCCCATGTAACCCTGAGCCATGTTATTATGGATTCCTACTCTAATTTTTAAATTTTTCTGTGTAAAACATTCTTCAAAATTGATCCCATAGAAAACATGATAAAAACAGCTCATAGTGCATTGCAAATGCTAATGCTTTTCAGACATTAATTGTTCAGTTTAGCTAATCAAGCTTAGTGACACAGCATATTCTAATTCTTTTATATTTTCTATTTCAATGACGTAACTTCTTTTTACAATAAGATGGAACATCTGTCTGATGAAAAATGGGCCATTATTATTCATCTGAAGCCACGAAGGCAGTTTCAGGGGAGATTTACATTTATTTCCTCTACAGTGCCTAGCATAATGCATTAAATATAGTAAAAAACAAAAACAAGACAAAATTTTTTAAAAACACAATAAATATGTTGAATGAGTAACTAAATAATGAAGAGAATAGTACATGGTTTATTGACTAGTTCTTGCTTGCAATATCCCTTGCATGACAATCCAGTATAATGACTTTAGCACAATGGCACTTTGTTGCCAAAGTTATTCAATTTCAGATTCATCTGAGTCTTGAACTTGAAACAACAAATAATCTGAAATATTGTCAAGGACATTGCTTTCTTACATAAATATATTAAAGCATTCACCTCAGGAAAGACCACCCATTCTAGTTCCCTTGAAAAGAGTTATAGAAAAAGCAGATGGCTGTATTCAAGGTGGTAAGGGGGAGGGGAGTGCATTGTCCTTATTTTAAATAAGTCAAAAACTGCGGTACATGTATTTGATGTGTAAACTTATAATGTTCAGTCTTTTCAATGATATTGAAACTCCCGACCCTGGAGTTTAGGAGAAAACAAGCCACATGTAGATAAAAGATTATGAGCCTACTGAATATATCATCTATCGCTGCATTGAATTGTTTATGGCATTATACTCAGTCACAGAGCATTTGTTCTCATTTTGTCACTAATTAGTATATAATATAACTGAATTTACTATGTATAAGTTTCATTATAGGACTTCCACTATTGTGACACACTCTAGCATCAAGGACATGGGAATTTTACAACAAAAGAAAATTAAAGGACCACATAACAGTTAAGATATGATCCACTAATTTTTCCTTAAAAAAAAAAAACTTGTCCTTCAGAACATATCAAGGAAAGAATTTTTTTAATGGAACTTGCTATGGACTGAATTGTGTCCCCCAAAATTCATATGTTGAAACCCTAATCCCTAATGTGACAGTATTTGGAAATGGGGCCTTTAGGGAGTAATAAGGTTTACATGAGGTCATGAGGGTGCGGTCTTCATGATGGCATCAGTGCCCTTATAAGGAGAGACACCAAAGAGTTCTCTCTCTCTCTTTCTCTTTTCCCTTGCCATGTGAGGACACAGCAAGAAGGCAGCTAGCAGCAACCAGGAAGAGAGTGCTCACCAGGACCCGACCCTGTTGATGCCCTGATCTTGGGCTTCCCAGTCTCCAGAACCGTGAAAAAATAAATGTCTGTTGTTTAAGCCACTCAGTCTATGGTATTTTGTTATGGCAGCCCAAGCTGACTAAGAAAAAACATATTAAAGAATTTGGAGATAAAACCTTAAGCAAGTCAGCACCTTATCAGTGAGGTATTATGGGAAGAGCACTGGACGGGATGTAAGGGGTGCGTTCGGTTATATACAGCCTGGGCTTCATGACTGACTTCTTGTGTGACCTTGAACACACTGGTTCCACATCTCTATAATTAGGGGACTGGATGAGCTGCCATTATGGCCACTGTGCAGCACCACCCCGACTCCCACTCTGACCATGACTGTGCCTGGGGACTGTAGTCACTAATGACACTGTAGTAACTAGGTGAAACATGAAGAAATAATCACTGAAGGCAAGGACGAAGAGAATAACACAATGTAGTGTATAAATTGCCACTCTAACATGATATATAAGGCAAGATGCATAACTGAGATGAGCATTTATGAAACCTGCTTCAAAAACAAAGATCAAAATGGAATACCGCAGCACCATCGCCATCTCTTTGTACTAGGGTTTAAGATGTACAGAAAGATGAAAAGAATGCAGATATACCAGAAAAAGAAAGCTGCAGCCACAGAAAAAACAGTGGTCATTCAACTCCTTTCTACTCTTCATTATCGTGTAAAATGATTTTTCCAAGATAAAGTATAAGAAAGGGGCTTCCCTGGTGGCACAGTGGTTAAGAATCTGCCTGCCAATGCAGGGGACACGGATTCGAGCCCTGGTCCAGGAAGATCCCACATGCTGTGGAGCAACTAAGTCTGTGCGCCACAAGTATGGAGCCTGCGCTCCAGAGCTCACAAGTCACAACTGCTGAAGCCCATGTGCCACAACTTCTGAAGCCCACATGCATAGAGCCCACGCTCTGCAACAAGAGAAGCCACCGCAATGAGAAGCCCATGCACCGCAACAAAGAGTAGCTCCCACTCACCACAACTAGAGAAAGCCTGTGTGCAGCAACGAAGACCCAACTCAGCCAAAAATAAATAAATAAATAAAGTTATTTTTAAAAAAAGTGTAAGAAAGGGTACAATTGCATAGAGAAAAGAGAATGTGAGATACTAACCCAGGACACAGTAGTGCCGTCAGCAAAAAATTTGTCTTCCACTTAATACCTCTAAATGCTGAGGAAGTAAAGGACAGAAGAGTTACTGGAGCAACTGGATTTAGTCCACTTTACAAATACTTTATAGTAACTAACACACAACTACATTTCACTAGGTCAGCTAAAATTCCCCATGCAATTTCTGAATTTTTAATTTTACAGCTTTTTAATTTCTACATTTAACACACCAACTTACTGGAATAATAACAGTTGCAATGCTTACTCATATACATCTTAGCAGATACGTATCCAGCAGAGGTTCCCAGAAGGACCCATAACAGAATAGCACTGGTCATTAAAGCACCTCGATTGGCAAGGGAAAGGAAACCAAGGCAAGCCAGAACTAAAGGCACAAAAGAGAAATATCAAACCAGTGACAATAATGGCCTCAAAAGCACATAGGACTTTATAATAAAGACAACCTTATGAAGATATTTTTATGAAACAGCATACAAGGAAATTCTCTGATGTTATTCTCTTAGCTAATTTTTTTGACAATTTTTTCTTAATGAAAAAGTCTGATTTTCCATACAAGGCAAATGATATGTTTTCAATTTAGCCTTTAATCTCACTGTTTAAATCAAAATTAAACAAAAGATCTTCCCCTTCCCTATTCCAGTAGTCACTGCATAAACAGCAAATCATTTTTCCCACAAAAATTTCCTTCTGTTTCCTTTTATTCAAGGTAAGGGGGAAAATATCAAAGTGAGACTTGGTCTCAGGAAAATATAACCTTAAGAGCTAAATTTTGAAATTATCACTGACATCTGAAACAGCTAATAAGCCATTTATTTACAGCAGCTTTGTTTGTGAAAATCAGCACTCTGGTTATCAAAAACTGACAAACTCCATTTTTAGTTGCTAAATGAAGGCAGCCAGAGTTCCTCAGCCACTGTAAGCCTACTAACGACGCCATTGCGCTTATACATTTAAAGACCAGCACTCAGGCTTGCCATAGCATTTCAAAATGCTAGTCTTTGAATTATAACTCCCTGAGTTCATTTAAAATATGATTCTACCCACATGCTGATTTTCAAGAACGCATCTACCTTGCAAAGCAAGGAACAAGTGTATTGGACATTACAATAAATTACTCAAAACTGAAGAAGCTATGAAAGTTCCTTGATATAGGAACATATTCAGACTCATATCCTTAATTTGAGAAGAAAGAAATATAAGTACTATAAAACACACATTTCCTTAAACTTTAGGGTAGAATTTTCAAAGTCCTTTTGTACACATGAATCAAAGTTTAACATATGTTAGCAGCTCACTAAGAATGTTGAAGAAGACACATATTGATCTGAGATTACTCACATAAAGTAATAAATGTCATAATCAAAACTTGTGCTCTTGACCCAGGAAAACTGACAGCAACATTCTACTCCTTGGAGGTCTGAATACATCCCCATGAACCAGCTTCCAACCAAATTCCTTCTGGGCATCTTCCTGCATATGAGAAAGTCTTTAATAAACACGGGAGTTACTAGGACAGAAAGTTACAAGAGCTCTGAAAGTTAGAGAAAAATGAATTTTCCTCTAGAGACAGACTAGCTGGAAACCAATGGCTCATTTTGGTTACACTAGGTCTCTGGCAGGTATGTGACCCTGCCATACAAATGAGCTATTCCCTTACCTTAAGTTTTGCATTGGAGGGAGTGTGTTAACTATATAAAGGACACAACTGGCTTGATTTTCATGAAGAAAGCAACACGATTTAACATACATAAAAGATTCAACCAAGGGACTTCCTGGTGGCGCAGTGGTTAAGAATCCGCCTGTCAATGCAGGGGACAAGGGTTCAATCCCTGGTCCGGGAAGATCCCACATGCTGCGGAGCAACTAAGCCCATGTGCCACAACTACTGAAGCCTGCGTGCCTAGAGCCCGTGCTTCACAAGAGAAGCCACCACAGTGAGAACCCCGCGCACTGCAACAAAGAGTAGCCCCCGCTCACCACAACTAGAGGAAGACCGCGCACAGCAACAAAGACCAACGCAGCCAAAAATAAATAAATAAATTTTAAAAAAAAGATTCAACCAATTCTATAGAAATTAAACGTTCATCAATACACAAATGATTACAAGAGTCAAAACAGTATAAATTGATAAAACTAAATTTACCCTAAATTGTAGTATTTTGCAGTGTTTCGTATACTTATCTCATGCTGCAAATTAATGAAAATCTTAAATAATGATATTTTGAAAGGTCAGAAACATGAAAAGGAATATAACCAAAGAGTTGATAGCAAATAACTCTCTAATAAACTTACCTGTACTTTTTAAGAATCAACACAACACTCTGTACTTCGATTCAGCATAATATGCAAAATTACTAGACATCAAAATGCATTGTATTCAAGGTGTTACACTCTAAGTAGAAATATAACATTGAGAACTGGGCAAAGCAGGCACTCAAATATTTGCTGAATCAAATATGTGCAATTTTACTTACGGGAAAACTCATCTAATTATATCTGATAATATCTTTATGGAGAGTCCTTAATATGATCATAGCCACCATTCCAGATAAGAAGACAGCAATAACAATGGAATTCACAATACTAGAAAACATAAAGAAGGAAAAAGAGAAGTTAAATCTCAAGTTTCTTATTTGAATACTAAAAAGAAAATGTGTGCACACGTAAAAGAAAGACATTCAAATTATCATTATGTCGATCAGTTTTCTAAGGTTAAATGTGGATCAAAGGCTGAATACATCAATATATTAAATGAACTTAAAGCTCTATCACAAGGGGCTTCCCTGGTGGCGCAGTGGTTAAGAATCCGCCTGCCAATGCAGTAGACACGGGTTCGAGTCCTGGTCCGGGAAGATTCCCACATGCCACGGAGCAACTAAGCCCATGCACCACAACTACTGAGCCTGTGCTCTAGAGCCCGTGAGTCACAACTACTGACGCCCGTGTGCCTAGAGCCCGTGCTCCGCAACAAGAGAAGCCACCTCAATGAGAAGCCTGCGCA